TATCCTTTTTCTAATTTAGAATCATGATTTAGGAAGTTTTATATTCCCTCCCAATGCCCCCCTCTCTCTCCACAAATCACATCTTGCATTCAAAGCTCTTCCTCTTTTAGCCCTCTTAATTTGGCAATGAATTCAAATTCAAAATTCAAATCAAATTGAATTTGAACTTGTTTCCTAAATAAGAATCCCTATTTTAGAAAAGCTACTTAAATTAGATCTAATTAAATTTCTAATTAGATCTGATTTAAATTAAATTTCCTAATTAATAAATCTCTTTTAAGAAACTCCTAAAATCTCTCAAATTTGAAATTAAATTCAGATTTAATTCCCTAATCACATTTATTGCTTGGGTCCACATACATTGTATGTGGACACTTATCCTCCCTCCCCATAGAGTCAGCCCCCCTTATTCTCTTCCCTTATATATTTTAATTAATTCCTTCACAAAATTGGAACTCCATTTAAGGGATTAATTAAGTAACCATTTTCCTCTCTTTTCTAATTAATTTTAAATGCCAAATTCACATGACCCCTCCCCTTTAAATCTACATCAAATAACCTCTCTTTATTAGATTTAGATGAGAATTTGACTCTTAACTGGACACAAAGGATTCATGTAGCCGACCCCACATAGTGGGTTAAAGGCTTGTTGTTGTTGTTATTTTTGTTTTCCAAAATAATCGAATTCAATATAACCATTCACCGTGTGGAGCAGAGTAATAATAGTAATGCAGCTATCAAAAGATTTAAATAATAATATTGAGAAAGTAAATAAATTGAAATTTCATATAAACTTTATTTCACATTACATAATGTAATAGAGTTTCCCCTTCTTTCAAATAAAATCCAATATTCTGACCACTTTCAACAGATAGATTTCTTCCTCTTCAGACAAAATCCAAGATTCTTGCCCCTTATAACTCTCAACAAACAGATTTTCAATGCGTTCCATATTCCCCACTTCAAACAAAATCTAAAGAATTCTGACCTCTTAAATCTCCCAACAGGCTTATTTCACATTAAAACTCATAATTCACAAGGTTGTGAAAATCAGACTAGACATCGACCCGAATGAATAAAAGGTTCAAGATTTAATGATTCGATCGGGGTTGAACTGGATGATGTAATAAATATTAAAATTATTTAAATAAAGTCTAAATAATATAATAATGTTGAAATAATTATATAATCATATAATTGTGTGACTAAAAATAAATACAATTCATGCATAGTAAATTTTATAATTTTAAATGTAAATATTTTTCATTTTTAAATTTAATTTTTAATTTAAATTTAATTTACATATAATTATATAATTTAATATAAATTATTATTAATTTATGTTAAATATTTAGATTATTTAATATTTATTTAAAAGTTTTAATGTATAATATTTATATTACTTTATTAAGTTTAATATTATATTTTAATATTGAATTAATTTATTTAATTATTTAAAAAACACTTAGACCAACCGGTTTAAAAAAAAATCGGGACCAGCTCAACAGTTTACCAGTTGAACAAGTGGTTTATGCCAGTTTGACTCGATTTGATGTAAAGTTGGTTCTTAAGTTAGATCAGACCGGCCATTTGACAGAATTGATGGAAAGTTGGTTCTTAAGTGAGAAGAAAGAAGCGTGTCTTATGCTTACAAAGAGTCTAAAGCATAGGGACAACACTACTGTTCCCTTTCCAGTAGACAAGATTGACGCTCTATTACAATTTTCAAAAACTGTTCCAAGTGAGAGAGGTAAAGAATTTTTTTTTTTTTTGAAGAAAGCAATAAGCATAACTATTAAAGAAAAGAAAAAAAAAAGGAATAAAAAACCCCACCTAAGTACATGCTAAAGATTCCTCCTTTAAAATGTTAACAAATGAAGGAGGAATCTTATCAGTAGAAATGTCTTCCAAAAAAAAAAAATATAAAAAACACCATAGTTAGCACAAAGGTCAGCTAACTTATTACAGTCTCTTTTCACACAATTGAAAATAACAAAAATAAAGCTATCAATCAAAGAAAATTTATTCATACCTTTGACTCCTTTCTTTGTATTTTTGTGAATGAATTTGATAATATTGACATTATCACTTTCAATGATTATACCTTTATAACCATGCATCCGATCTTTGAAAACATCTTTAACAGAGGTAATAGCTAGTAATTCCAAGTGAGTGATATCCCAATGCCTTTCGGGTCTTCCATAAGCTGCTATGAGTCTTCCTTTGTGATCCCTTATTACACCTCCAATTCCTCCTTTATAAGAAGGATATAAAGCTGCATCTACATTCACCTTGATCCAATTGGGTGGAGGAGAGTACCAACGATCTTCAAACAGCAAACGCTGATTAGTACCCAACCAGCCCAAATTGATGAAGTTAGGAGTATTAAAAACTCCTACAAAACTAACTGCTTCAGCAGCTATACAAATCGAACTCCTTTCTTTTTTCCCATGAACCAGCTAATTTCTCTCCTTCCAATTAAGATATACAGCATTAAACCATAAGCTAGAAGTGAAAGAATTTTGTCTCACAAGCCAATCAAACAGCTCTTTCTTAGAATTGAATATCGGAATATAGAAGCCCCATATATTAAGAGTCTTAATAACTTCAATCATTTTTGTACATCTGCATGTTAGATGGCAAATATTCTCTTCTTCATAACAGCCTCTAGGCTTCTGGATGATAAAAAAGAGTTAGTTGGCAATGCATTATTAAACATTCTCCAGCAGAAATTCTCCACTCTAGCATTAAGTTTGGACTTTTTAAGCCAATTCCATAAAATGTTATCAGAATAAGGAGAATAATTAACTCCAACTGCCAAAGAAGTGATAGTTCTACTCGATTCCATGAGGATAAGATCAAAATGATCTTCAGCAAGCTCTGTTTTTATTTCAGTTTTACAGATAAGTTGAACCAGTTCATTACCAAAAAACTTTTGAAGTTCAAACAAATTCCAATGACTTCCAGATATAAAGGTTTCAACCATTAAAACCCCATCCATTTCATCTATGTTATTAACAAAAGTCGGCCATCTGTTAAGACATTTATCTAAAATCCATGTATCTTCAAATACATCAATTGAATGTCCATTAGCAATATCCCATCTCACGATTTTCTGCAAGAATTTGCTCCCGTCTTTAATTATTTTCCAAGCTGAAGAATTGGACTTATTTCTGTTCACAACCTTCCAACAAGATCCATATCTAGTAAATAAAGTTTTATGCAATAAGGAATCTTCATCTTTCATGTATTTCCAGGCAATTTTGGCCCTTAAAGGACCCATTTTATATGAACACGACTGCAGACCTCTGCCTCCTGATCAATAGGCTCACAAAGTTTATTCCAGCTTATATAGTGTAAGCCGTGTCCCTCATTGGACTTATCCCAAATAAAATTTTTGCAGTATTTTTCAATCTCACCTAGCATAGCCTTAGGAACCAAAGAAATCGTGGAATGAAAAGAAGGAAGAGCAAGAATGACAGCTTTAACCAGAGTTAATTTACCGGCCAGAGAAATAAACTTTAAACCCCAACTATTCAGCTTCTTTAAAACCTTGTCTAATAAGAATTGGAAATCCCTCCTTGAAAGCCTCCTTAAAGCCAGTTTAGAACCCAGATAATTAAGCTCCTTAACTTCATTATAACCCAGGATCCTTTTAATCTTCCCTTTCTTTCGGTTGTTGACTACTTTACCAAATAATATCCCAGACTTGTTAGAATTAACATTTTGGCCAGTCCATTCACAATACATGCTAACAATTTTTTAATAGCTTTCACATTTTTAATTTTAGCTTCAGCAAAGAATATGATATCATCCGCATATAATAAATGAGAAATTCTTGGACCATTCTTGCTAACCCGAATACCAATTCATCCTTCTCCTTAATGCCATTTTTAAGAAGCTGTGAACAAAGTATAAAAAGATATGGTGACAAGGGACAACCTTGTTTGAACCCACTCCTAGCTTTGATCCAACTATAAGGATTCCCATTGATTAAGATAGAGAAAGATGGATTTTGAACACATTCCATGATTAATTTTGAAAAGAATTCAGGAAAGCCAAAATAAGAGAGAACCTTTTGAAGAGTTGGCCACCCCATAGAATCATAAGCCTGTTCCATGTCTAATTAAATAGACACCGGACCTTTAGAAGTTGTAGAAATTCTAAATTTGTGGAGGAGTTCTTGAGCAATTAACACATGGTCTTGAAGAGATCTTCCCTTAGCAAAAGCAGCCTGCTCTACAGTGATGAGTTTCGGAATGATACCTTTCATTCTATTCAGAAGAACCTTCGAAGCAATCTTGTAAACTGTGTTACAAAGGCTAATAGGCCTATAATTGTGAGCATAATGCGGATTATTGATTTTGGGAATGAGAACTATAAAAGTTCTTTTCCAATTAACATCCATATCAGCTGTTTGAAAAAAATAATTTAAAGCTTCCCAGAATTCAGATTTGATTAAAGACCAATAGCATTTAATAAATGAATAAAATATCCCATCCTCACCAGGAGAAGTGAAGCCCGAAGTTTCACTTACAGCTTTTTCAACTTCTTCTTTCATGAATTTGCTGTTTAAATAATTCCTATCTTCCTCTTCCAGAATTTGATGATTCTCCGGCCAACCTTCAAGCAAACATCTTCTATCACGCCATTTATCTTTAAAAAATTGAATTAACACATCTTCAATTTGCTTTTTCTCCTCTACTATGATTCCATTGCTATCTTTAATACAATGGATGAAGTTGGTATTCTTTCTAGCACTAGCCATTGAGTGAAAAAACTTTGAGTTTTGATCACCTTCCCCAATCCATTTAACTTTAGATCTTTGCCTCTACCAAATGTTTAAACAAGCTAAAGTACAATTAAGCTCATTGATTTTAAATTTCAGCAAAAAATACTCATCTTGAGAAAGCCCACCGTCTTCAGCTTCCTTGATTTGAAGTTTTAAAATTTCATCTTTAAGCAAGTCTTTTTGAAGATTCAAATCTTTAAGTTTAGCCTTACTCCAAAAGAATAAGGATTTGAGAGATCTCTTCAATTTGAAATTGAGAATTAGCTGCAGTTCCACTATTTTTCCGTTTCCAAGCTTTCTCCATCACTGCATAAGAAGCCGGGTATGAAGTCCAAACATCCTCAAATTTGAGAGATTTCATACCTCTAGAAGAGAAATCTGAAATTTTGAGAAGAAGTGGACAGTGATCTGAAGCAATCCTGGGGAGATGCTTAACTACTAAATGTTGATTGTAATTCACAGAAATAGAATTGACTAACATTCTGTCTAATCTTTCCATAATTCGATCAACCCCCTTTTTGTTGTTACTCCAAGTTAGCCTATGACCAACAAATCCTAGCTCATGAAGATCATTTGTGGTCATGAATGACTTCATCTCTTTAGGACCCAAAGAGAATGAAAACCTCCTTCCTCCCATCTTGTCTTCTTTAGATAAAAGACAATTAAAGTCTCCACCAATCACCATAGGCCAATCATTTGTAATATAAGGTTCCAACCCATTCCAAAGAGATCTCCTATAGTAAACATCTTTGCTTCCATAGATAGTGGCTATCCTCCATTTCCCTTTATTGAGAATATCTAAATCTCCAATTATGAATTGAGAAGAAGAATCAATTTTGCTGAATTTAGCCAACTTCCTCCTCCAAAGCACTAGAATACCACCAGATAACCCAGCCGAAGGAATATAACTGAAATCCCAGTCAAATCCAATCAGTAACTCCACATCTTTAATATCAATATAAACCAATTTAGTTTCTAACAGCCCAATAAATAAAACATTTTGATCTTTTACTACCTCCTTGAGGTAGAGAGAAGACTTCTTTTTTTTAGCTCCTCTACAATTCCAAATCAAAATGGAATTCATTAATGGATTAGGGGGGAAGATTTCCCCTCCTCCTTAAAATTACCATATGTTTTCCTGTTTCTAGTCTTAAAATTGATTGGACCTAATCCATTCAACTGTTTCATGCCTTTCTTTTTCAAGGTTGAAGAACTGTCTTAAGTTAATTTGATTATTTCCTTATCAGGATCATTAGCTCCCAGCAAAATCTTCTCGATAGTATTTCCCTCCAAACATTGAGTTCCTGGAGTGTCATTTCCAATCAAAATATCCCCTTCTTCAACCAAAGTTCCCAAGGCATCAAATTTGTTTTTGAGAGCAGGAATTCTATTAGAAATTCCTGCATCAGCCATTTCTTCCTTATCCTGACTGATCATTTCAGCAATGCTCCAAATTCCTTCAGAATGCATATCATCCTTCCCACCTTTAGCAATATGAATCTGAATATTATCCTCAGTCGTAATTTCCTTCAGCAAATTTAAATCAGCACCAGCTTCAATACTGTTATTTATAACAACATTTGTTTCTCCCTCCAAATTAGATTTACATAGTCTGACTTCACCTTTATTATCTGCTGTTTTCATGGCCTTCTTTTTTTTGTACTCCACATGAATCCATGGCCCAAACAACTCTTTATTAACTTCAATGTTTGTATCCACCACATGAGATTTGGAAGTCAGGTCTGAAGCTTTATCAACTTTTCTGACCAAATCTTCTACTCCTGACTTGTTCATAACAGGAAATAAATTTTTCAAACAGTCCTCCTTTAGGTGACCCAGCTTACCACATTTAAAGCAAAATGTAGATAATCTTTCATATTCTATATTTTGATAGAATTCCCTAATTCTCCTTCCACCCAAACTCCCAAAGGAAGTTTTTCATCTAGCTTGACTCTCACACAAACTCTTGCAAATTCTCTACGACTCCATTGGAACATGTTTCCATCCAACAAATAAGGAGTGCCCACCATGGAAGCAATTCTACACACATTAACTTCGTCCCAACTATGAAGATGAAGATTGGGCATACGAATCCAAATTGGTGCAATAAGCCCTTTGAAAGACGTAGGAGAGAAAGAAGTTGTCCATCTATCCATACCTACTATGTTGCCATTGACATACCATGGACCGGAAGCAATGATTTTCTCCAAAACTTTCTGTTCTTCGAAAGCACAGAGCACCCAGCCTAACCCCAATTGGGTTAAATGAAACTTTCCCATTCTTGACCATTGCTTCCTTTACTCAATGCTAATAATATTAAAAAGAACATTATTACTGAAGACCTTAATAACCAGAGCCTTCTTAAGTCTGTTTGAATTTTCTTTTTCTTTCTCAGCATGAAGCTTAACAACACCGTCTTCTTTCAGGAAATTTTCACCAAAATTTAAATCTGAAACTTTGATATTAGCCTTCTTTTTCCAAACATTCAAATCAGAATTAAAAATTAAGTTTTTGGGATGATCCATAATTCCATTTTCATTACTGCAGTTCCCAAGTACTCCCTCTTCACAAACTCGAACCTTGAGAATATCTGAATTAAGGAGATTAGCTTCAAAGGTTTCTTTAACATTATCATAAACTTTTGTTCTTGTAATACCAAGATCTTCAGAATTCTGGGAATCAAGCATAGTTCCGTTTCCAAATGACTCCTTAATTATTGACCCATTTTTACAAGAAGTTGGCGTGCCATTATCAGAATTGAGAGAATTTCTCAAATTAAGGATCTAGTCCGAAAAATTGTTATTCAAAGCCTTTGAATTACAATTTCCGTCCATCAAGATTTCTTTCCCCTTACCAATACAATCAATACTCTTCTTCTTAACCAATAATCCTCCTTCCTTGATAAAAAGAGGACGTTCCTTATTGAACCAGAATTGTCCTTCTTTTTCCAAACCAGTGTCTCCAAAAGCTGGAGGAGACGAATCAGTATGACGTAAAACCTTACGAGAAGATGGAGGAGGAGGATGACAGAGGATGACTGGAGCACCAGTTGCCGCAGTACGGCGATCCTCCATCGCCACCAACGATCGGCGGAACAACCGCGAAACAGGAATTCAAAATTTCCCCAGACGTTCTCTCTCTAGCTGAAATAAGAGTGTTTTTTAGTTTTTTAGTTTTAACAGCACCTCTAGATGGGTCTCTTTTAGTTTTTCCATGATTAATTGATTTCATACTTCCAGAAATGAATCCTAGCAATCAAAAACACTTTAGAAGAGCTAGAAGGAGGAGGAAGGCTAAGTCTAGAGTCTCCAAAATAGTGGATGATCATGCAAACCCTGTGAGAGTTGCTTAGCATTGTTTTACAAGTTTGGATCATAATCGAAAAGGTAGTTTTCTCCCAACATCAAGCCCTAGCAAAGAGCCTTTTTCTGCTTCATTTGAAACTGATGGAAGTTATGAGATCCCTTCATCTGAAAAAGTAAGTTCATACTTGGTATACATGACTTGCAGTGAATAATCTTATGTTGGCATCTCTATAGGTGCAGTTTATAGGATAACAAAGTCAACCATTTGGTATAGATTGCTAATTTGTTGCTTCAGGTGGATTCAGCTCTGGATGATAAAAAAATCACAAAGACAAGGCATTATAGAAGGTCCAGAAAGAGAGGGAAGGGTGGTCACTATGATGCACAACACATGACACACTCTTTGCTTCAACCACAATCATATTTTAGCTCAAACCATTCATCTGTCATACGAATACCAGAAAGAGGAAATTATTCAGAGAAAGCTGATGGCATTTGATTTCCTGCAGCTAATAAATTGGTGTTATCAATTGAAAAAGAAAAATATTCTTTGATTAATGCTACATTTGATGACACTAAAAACGTTTGTATTCCATTTGAGGTCAATACTGATTCTCTTGATTGTTCTTATATTGGAAAACATGGAAAGAAAATCAACATGGCAAGAAGGCAGCATATGAAGTGCTTGAGACATAATGTTCATAAAAATCACAAAGCATCTTTACATTATTTAAACTAGCAGTGTCTGCTCTGTGATTTTTATGAACATCATTTCTCAAGCACTTCATATCCTGCCTTCTTGCCATGTTGATTTTCTTTCCATGTTTTCCAATATCAGAACAATTAGGAGAATCCGTATTGACCTCAGATGGAATACAAACGTTTTTAGAGTCATCAAATGTAGCATTTATCAAAGAATATTTTTCTTTTTCAGCTGATAACACCAATTTATTAGCTGCAGGCAATCGAATGCCATCATCATTCTCTGAATAATTTCCTCTTTCTAGTATTCGTATGGCAGATGAATGGTTTGAAATGAAATATGATTGAGGTTGAAGCAAAGAGTGTGCCATGTGTTGTGCATCACAGTGACCACCCTTCCCTCTCTTTCTGGACCTTCTATAATGCCTTATCTTTGTGATTTTTTTATCATCCAGAGCTGAATCCACCTGAAGCAGCAAATTAGCAATCTATACCAAATGGTTGACTTTGTTATCCTATAAACTGCACCTATAGAGATGCCAACATAAGATTATTCACTGCAAGTCATGTATACCAAGTATGAACTTACTTTTTCAGATGAAGGGATCTCATAACTTCCATCAGTTTCAAATGAAGCAGAAAAAGGCTCTTTGCTAGGGCTTGATGTTGGGAGAAAACTACCTTTTCGATTATGATCCAAACTTGTAAAACAATGCTAAGCAACTCTCACAGGGTTTGCATGATCATCCACTATTTTGGAGACTCTAGACTTAGCCTTCCTCCTCCTTCTAGCTCTTCTAAAGTGTTTTTGATTGCTAGGATTCATTTCTGGAAGTATGAAATGAATTAATCATGGAAAAACTAAAAGAGACCCATCTAGAGGTGCTGTTAAATTCTTTACCTCTCTCACTTGGAACGGTTTTTGAAAATTGTAATGGAGCGCCAATCTTGTCTACTGGAAAGGGAATAGTAGTGTTGCCCCTATGCTTTAGACTCTTTGTAAGCGGAAAGACACGCTTCTTTCTTCTCACTTCTTTTTCTACTTGCCCTGGTTCAGAATATGAGAATATTGATGCAAAAGATAAGTTATCTCCTCTGTTTCTGAGCTTTAGGCCCTTGAGATTAATCAATTGGGTGAAGCAAAACAAAACTGAAAAAAAAAAAGCTGAGTGATCAAAATATTACTTTAAATTTGCATTTTTACTTTTAATTTTGGTAAGCAATCATGCAGTAGTCAAAATTTATGACACTCAATTTTTTATTATTCCTATACATAGTAGAAATTGTTAGAATTTACAACTTCATTTTTAAAAATCATATTCAAAATAACTATGCACATCATATTTATTTTCAATTAAATATGATTTTAATGTAATTAATAAATAATCCATGTTTCATTATATTTTGTGAAATTTACTACCTTATGTGTTTTAGGTTTGATTAATTAAATGGGCATTATATGTAAACAATATATGCATCCAAGATACACAAATCATGAACAACTTAATAAATCATTGACATGAACTACTTCTAGGTCAATAATCTTCCACATGCTGTTGGAGGAGGAACAACCACCTCCAGCCCTTTGACTTCAAGTTTCAATCATCATTGACATGAACCACTTCTAGGTCAATAATCTTCATCTCCACCATCATCTTTAACCATGACACTATCTCGCAATCGAATAGATTGCGCAATACAAGATCAATTTATCATAGCATCTCCAAAAATCTCGCCCTCAATACATCCCTTCTTTTGTTTTGAAACCTATCTTGCAACCAAAGAGCTAACCTTTCCAACTCCTTCAAATCATGATGTTGCACTAAAGCTAATGAAATTGAAGTAGCACAACTCAAAGTTCAACCCTACAACACAGATAGTCCATCAACTTTTTCCTACTTCAACGTTCTCAGTTCTATGCAGCTAACATTCTAAACCTCCATTACTATATATATAATCTTTTATAAGCATCTCAAATAACCAATACAACATAATGATCAAGGAAAATGGTAGAGGAGGCACAATCAAGGTCTGCGAATGTGCAAAATTCTGAAATTAATATCCAATGTAATTAGAAAACATGGAAAACGAATTTCCTATTCCAATGCTTAACCAAGCCCTATAACAATGCATCTAGAACTCTGTCCGACACGCGCATAGAAACAAAATCCAAAAGCAACACGTTCAAAACGTCTAATTTCAATGAAATTCTTTGTTCATTCAAATGAGAAAAAATCAAAACAAATTATTAAAAAAAAGTTAAGCCGAAGTTCAAAAACGATGATTACCTTCCTATCACCGCCATTTCCTATAAGATGTCAGCAAGTAAGCGATCACAGTTAATTAGGGTTTTTCCAATATAATCGAGAGCATACCTTCTCTGAAAGACATCGATTTTCTCCGCTTCCCCATAATTCCGCTTCGAACTTTCGGCCTACTTACGAAACTTGATTCGATATATATCGCTATATATATTTTCCGCAGTATGAGTCAACCCGATTCACCCACCTTCAATTCTTCCAACTAGAATCCAATATTTTAGAGAAATAGGTCGTAAATCTGAACCCGACTCAAACCCGCTATTAACCCGACCTGATCTGACACAACTTGTCGAACCATTTAGGTTTACAAATAATATATAAGATTTATCATGATTAGCTTTTGCTTAATTAAGTTATCAAAAAATGGTAAGTACTTATTAAGAGGATTTATAATACTTGGTTTGGGATGATCAAAGCAAAGAAGATCATTAACATCCATTAAGTGATTAATAGTTATACAAAGAAAAAAAAAGGCTAAAATTTCCTAGCTAAACATTTTTCAATCATATAGCAGGAAATGGATGAAAGCATTATTGGATGACAGTCACCGCCGCCACACTCATTGTTGCTGCTTGCTTTCCTCCACTGGTCACTACATCGGCAACCCACCAGGCCGTTGCTACCTAATGTCAGTCGCTTTCGCTGTTCATCTGCTGTCACGAATGCATCATAACTCAAAAATGTTAATTCTATTTTACAAGAAATTAAATAATTCAAATTATTTAAAAAAAAATGTTTTTACTTTGCATCTTATTTTTAAATACATCAAATTTTCAAATACTTGCCTAAACAACCCTAGAAGAGATGGGTTGTCTATGGAAGGTACTTCAAAGCTTTCAGCTCTTCAAAAGCCACTTTCATAATTTTACATTTGACATATTTCAAGAGGAGAAAAAAAGATAAATTTTTGCAGATAAGACCAAGATTTTCCACGTTTACAAAACTAAAATCTATAATTTAAAAAATAAGTTATTAAATTCATGTATTTATACATAGCACTATCAACTTAGATAAAAATTAATAAAAATGAAAAATATGGGTTAAAAATGTCTTATGCTACCTAAAATTCAAATGATTTTATTACAAATGAAAATATTTGGGTGTTAATTTTATAAATATGTTAAAATTTGGGTGTTTGTATGTAATTAATTGCCAACAAAAAATAGCAGCATTTTGGTACAAATAATGTTATAACCATCAATAAACTATTGTACTAAGACTAAGAAGGAAAAAACCAAGGAGAAATGTGATCTAAATTTAATCAATAAAATTTATAATCATTAAATTTATTTTGAAATAAATAAAAAAATATAAAATTAATCAATCAAAATTTATATTATAATCATATTAAAAAAATTATGATGATTATAAAACTCTATTCACTTAAAATTTGAATAAAATATCTAATATCCTAACACATTTTTTCTTCAAAAATGTCACCAACTTTTAGGCTTCATTTGGAATGACTTTCGTGCTTTCTAAAGCAGCTTTTTAGTACCAAAAATTTTGTTTAGTTCAAAATTTTTTTGTACTAAAAAACTGCTTTAGAAAACATAAAGAAAATTATTCCAAATGAAGCCCTAATCTTTAAAACTAGTAAAAAAGTTCTGGTTCAAAAAAAATTTATACTAAAAAAATGAAACTCTAATCTTAAAAAAAAAAAACAAAGCAATTGATTGCACATCAAAAGTACTTAAGGTATGCAAATCAGTAATTAATTCATTGAATGATATGTATGATATTTGATCTCAGCAGTCATGCAGATTGCATATCTCACAAAAATAAAATAAAAATAGGCATGCTGCACCTGAACTTGAAGAGCTCATTCAATGCAAACATTTATAGATGAAAAAAATCTGGTTTAACACATCACAGATCACACCCTATGAGCCTAACTAAAACTAAAAACAAGCATAGATTCTAGAAAGTTCCAGAAAGTTCAAGTGTACATAGAATCACCTATCCACTGAAGTTTTAAGGATGGATCCAGGAACAGATCTTTCTTTTACCATTTCTGAAGATCTTTACATTGTTGACAACAGCTCAGCAGCTCCTAATCACAACACCATGAATCAATCAAGAACAGTTGCAGCTACAAAAAGTTTCAAACTCTTATCCTTTCTAAAGTTCACCTTGCAAAATAGGGAAGATAGCTGTGTATGAAACTCAAAAATTCACTCAATCATCAGCTTAAAATAAAAAATGAACTGTTTTCAAGTCAAAAATGTCTTAGGCTTCGTTTGGGACAGCCTACTTACTGCTTTTAAAAGCAACTTTTTAGTACAAAAATTTCTTTTTCAAAAAATTTTTATACTAAAAAGTTGCTTTAAAAACAGTAAAAAAGCTGCCCCAAACGAAACCGTAGTTTGATAAAAATTGAAATTAATTCTATATAAGATGATAAACTGTTTAAAAGATTTATATAAATTATAAAATATAAAGGTTGTCACACATATATCTATGAGAGTACACATGTGCGCATATATATATATATACCAAGGCAAATGCACCGTATCAGAATCTTTACTATCGTCTAAGCAGATGAGCATTGCACCTAAGGGTCTGCAGGTAGTTTTTTAGCAGATTTCATGAAGATTCCTCCAAACAAACAATTTAGAAATGCAGCTTTCAACAAATTGAAGGATAATCTTGCATAATCACATATTAAAAAGTTCATCATTTAGATTCAAATCTTGTAAGGGATCCTACTTCGTAAAAACAGCAGGTTTACAGGAAAAGAAGTGACCACTGTAAATATAGAAAAAGCTTATTGGTCGTGGCATCATGAACAGGCAAGTTAGTCCAGTCCCAAATCAAATGAGGATCATAATCCATATGAGTAGAATAAACTCCTTTTAAGTAAACATTCAAAATGAACTTTTTAACTTGAAATTTTACGATGTGAAACGCAACAGGCTACCTAGAAGGAAAAATTTTGGGTCAGAATATTCTAACACGGATTTGATCAAAATGAGCATCATAACCTTCAGATCTGCTCAAAACGAGTACATTCGAGTAAATATGATATAGTTATAAAACTCCTCCTAGCCAAATTTAGATTAAAAAACCCTAAACCAAATATTTTTCCACAAAAGATAGTTTTCATATTGTCGCATATGATTAGTATGATTAGGCAATCTAAATTGAACAGGCTGGTCGAAGGAGGACCTGGAAACTGCATCACAGCAGGAAAATCAGGAAAAATGCAAAATAAATAATTGCTTTCTAAGATAAAGAGATATCTTACAGTAGAATGTGTAAAGGTGATGATTTATCAAATACGTCATTAAAAAGAAAGGCAACTGCGGAACTAAAAAGATAGGCCAGATACATACATGCAGATTGTTATTTCGTACTGCCATATACAAATCTGGTCAGCTAAAACACCCAATGTGGAAAAGCTGCTGCGAAATAGATTCAGTTAATGAGAACAAACTTCATGGCAAGGTTTTGCTACCTTTCTCAAAATCAGATTTCATGCTGCAGCAGATCTAAATGAATGGCAGATAAGGATCATCAGTGAGGAATCTAGATTGGTTGAGCAGTAACATTAACTGCCTTAGTTCACATCTTGACATATTTGTCAACATAGCCCTGCAACAATGGAAAGAGGATTGCACATTAAAACTAGATAACTCAAATTATATACATACATGCGCACACACACATACACAAAACAAGCAAAATAACATTTATCATAAGCATCACAAAGTAATTTCCTTGAGAAAATGGAATAACATGATATAAAGGATTTATTATTCTGTGCGGAGTCCGGATGTGTTCGGATACCAATAAAAAAGCGTCATGTCACCCCAAAAATGTACCACGCTCGATACCGCGCTCGGTACCGAGCGTAACCGGATGGTTCTCCCGTCCGGTGTCCGCACAGAATAATCTCTCAATATAAAGACATCAGAAGTATATCTGGGAAGATACGTTATCCAGAGGTGGGAGGCGCATACCATCACCAGCTTAGTCAATTTGCGTTGAGATGAATCCACATACTGATTGATCTTTACTTGTGACTTGGGTATATGATGACTTGGTACTGCTCCAGCCACCTTATCAACAGTTTTCTTCACGATGGTCTTAAATGCCTCTTTGCTTAGATTCCCCTGACGCCAAGAGGGCTTGAGCACTTCCTTCGCAAAATCTGCAAGGGCAATCTTGAAAAGCCTCATTGACCTCGAATCTCTATTCTTTTTACTTTTACTAGGTGACCGGATCTGATTGATCTCAATCTCACCCACATTTGTTTCACCCTCATCAAAATGAATTCCTGGACTCCAATCTTTATCGAGAAGCTGAGGGCTCTCATTCTCAACGCCACCAGCATCTGCATCTGTTGCTACCTCACCCAATTCATCAACTTCAGCCTTCAGCTCAGTAACTGATCCCCTTCTACGCTTCTTACTCCCAAACTTGGCAGGCTTGTGCAGGTTCAATTTTGATGCACTGCCTGTGTCATTGATCCCTGAATTCTGTTCCTCAACACGCATCTTCGATGTGTCGGAAGATTGTTCAATGCTATCAAAGAGAGGATCATATGGAGCACCAGCCACTGGTTCCCGAACCAACTGCGTTTTCGAATCCGGTGTCACTTCTGCAAAAGATTCATGTGGGTAACTCCCAATTTTTGGCGGAAACTGCTCAGCCAATCTCCTTGTACTGCTGGGGGATGGTCTCATCCCAAAGCCAATACCGACAATGGGAACATTATCCGCACTGAGTGCAGAATCAAATCTTCTGATCTCTGGACCAGGAATGCCAGGGCTTCTAAGTGGATGTTCAAAGATGGAAGCATATGGGTTGAAACGTTCCCTGGTAGGAAATATAGGTAAACCAGCATCAGAGGGCTGTGGTTGGAAGTAGTTATCCGGGTATCTCTGTATAGAAGGATTCGTAGAGCCTGCTGTGCCAAACCTTGCAGGTAAATTAGCAGCTGCAGGGTGGGTTTCTTGGTTATAAAGTGATGGTTGATGAGAATGATGAACATCTCTTATGCGTGGCATAGAAATTTCTTCTCCTTGGAAGGGCCTTAGCAAAGGCAAAGAACTAGAGGGGTTGAGCCCCTGGTTCTGTACTTGAATCATACCTTGTTCATTTGGAAAAGGTTGAGGTCGTGGAGGATGGCCGGATGACATTGAATAGAAAGACGGGGGATAAAAGTCGGATGGTCGTGAACCAGGAATCTCTCCAGATGGATAGGGCCTGACAGAAGGCATGAAAGAATTTCTCGGTGGCATTGCATTAGGCTGGTGCATATGGGTGGGTTCAGAAGAAGGAAAAGGTGGCCTGCTCAGCAATGTAAACATATTTTGAGGTGTTGTGGGGTTTAGATCAGACCATGTAAGGTTTGGTTGAAGTGCATTATTAGGAAGAAAATTGCTAGGCAAAGGAGGTGGCGGGGGATAAAGCATATGAGATTGTGGTAGCTGGGATTGGTAGCTAATTGGCGGCATGACATTTTCTTTAAAATGCTGTGAAGAAAATGGACCATTCAAATTATCATTAAGAATGTGCATTGGGCGCTGTCCCTGTGGTACAGGAGGAAATGGTTGAGGGGGCTGAAAGTTTGCTCCAGATGTCAAAAAGTGCGGTGAAGATTCTTCATGGAGAGGTTGAACCAGTGGTTTTGTTGGGGCAACATTTTGCGAGTGTGTAGGAGTGGCATTATTTTGGCCTGTTGTTGCCTCCGCTGCAATATTTTCACCCACATTCATCTGACATGTTAAGGGCTGAATAGAATCATTTGCAGAGTGACTTGTTTGAACAGGTAAGGGATGCGACGCAGAAGATGCCAATGCATGAGCATGCTCACTAGACTTTTCAGCTTCTGAGATATTGACTTGAGTGGTGAGCTGAGAAGGTTGAAACGAAACAGCTTCACCTGAGCTAGGCTGTTCAAAAATAGCATGGTCAACTTGTTTGGATTCAGAGGATTCCATTTGCAGCTTAGTGCTCTCGCCCTCAAGAGAGAGAAGGATGCGCTCAACGGGCAGTTCCAGCTCCCTGCTGCCATTCATTTCCTGAGATACCTGGTTTGCAGCATCCTCGGTTTCTGATGTTGGTGCTAATTCATCCTTTCCATCTGATAACTTCAGAGAAGCATTCCCAATTCCAGTATCATACTGCTCCTTGTAAACATGTTTCTCATAATCTCTTGCCTCAATTAATTTGTTGCTCTTTTCAGCTTGCAATTCAGGAGTACCAGCATTATCATTACGGCTAATACTCGACAAGGATGCATCATCGGAACTATCAAGATATCGATGCTTTCGTGGATCTTGATAGCGTCTTGGCATGTACGGCTGTAGTCTGAAATCACGATGGAGGAACCGACAAGATGCTCCACGAAAACATCTGCCACGATTGAAGTTCAAACATTCAGGAAGCTGGTCTCGACCGCGCCTTGCAGACATATTAGTCCTGAATGATGGGGGAGACTTGCTTCTCCCTCTTTTGGGGGACCAGCTGAAAAAGGCATGCAAACGGCTTATTATAGTAATTAACACACCTATCATTAACTATCTCCCAATCCAAAAGTGAGTTTATAGCAACAAAAGATAAAAACTTCAGCGAGTAATAAAATAATATATATTGAAGGCGACTATAAAATAAACATCAGTTAACCTGTGCGAATGACTTCGCGTATCTCTTCTCCTTAGACTGCGGCTCCTATGCTTCCTCCTACCACCCTGTGGTGACCTGCTGAGGCTCCGACTCCTACTCCTACCTCTTTTAATGTGCTTCTTACTATATTGACTCTCATCAGAGTCACTACCACTCACACCTTTTCTTATCAAACGCCCAAATTCGTCTACATCATGTGAAGCCTGCTTCTCCATTAAACTCTCTTTTGAATGAAACTCCAAAGTTTCCTGATCAGCATCCATTTTTCTTCCTTCCAATGCATCATATTCAGGAGAAGGCCTGGATGTTTCTCTTCCATCGTTAGACAAATTTTCAACTGGATGATTATCAGGATCTATGGTTTTGCTCATTGTATCAAAGTGGCTGATGCTGTTCGATGGTGATGATTTGTCTGGAGATCTACCAGCTCCTTGTGGTATTGAAGGCAAAAGCTCACACAAAGTAGTGTTGTCTACAGATTCAATTGCAACTGCAGCAGAACCTTGACCACCAAAATTTGAACATAACTCAGATAGCCTGTCTTGCTGCAAACTTGAAGTGCCTGTTGTAGGGGCTAGAGAAGGACTAATAGGGTTGAAGTCTTCATCATTATCACTTCTAACATTTTCATCACTTTCATCTGAAGCATAATCCTGTATCAAACGGAAAGGGCTTCCATATTTAAGAAACATCCCTGACGTCTCCTGAGATTTAACATCTTCAGTATTCAACAGAACCTTCCCTTCAATTGAATCTTCAGTAGGGAACCTGCTTGATGCGTGTGTTCTGTCATCTAGGCCAGCAATATCAGGCGAGCCCCTCTCTGGACTAACATCTTCAAAAACTGAGGACTCTTTCTCATCTGAAAATACTTCTCGTTAGTTGTTGAGATAAAAAAAAAAGGTTAAATAGTTTCTTCTGCTCTGGTAAGAGAGCATAAATGTCTAAAACCGATGCACATTTTACAAGTCAGATATATGAGAAAACCAATATAATCACAAAGGTTCAAAGCATATGACAGTTGCATATAAAAGGATACGCAAATTTGGCATAACCACCTAGTAAATATCAACGTACACTTAACACGAATCTTCATTAGCCATATCACAACTTTTTTGGGTGTTTATATGCTAGCTTTGAAATATATTCTTTATAGATGACATAATTATAATTAAAGAGACATGCATTAAAATAAATGAAAAATTAGAACAATAGATGAAATGTTTAGAAGATAAAGGCCTAAAAATTACTAAAATAAAACTAAGTAAATTAGATGAAAACTTGGAGTGGCATCTATGTAAGATAAGGACTGAGAACAGATTTGGGTAGTTTGGATTTGTATAATGAAGGGAAAAAATGCGCCCACCAGACGAGCTGAAAAAAATAACATTAGAGGATTATGACTAATGAAAGTGGTAGGGCCTATTAATACAAGGATATCTCTTAAGAAAAAGTTTTTTATTGGAAGAGATTTAAAAGACATGTTGGTAAAGTGGTAGAAAATTATAAAGCATTCATGTGGGTTATATGTTTGGAGCGACTAATGAAAGTAATAGGGCCATATTAGATTTTGAACAAGCTTATATTTTTATAATTGCAAATATCTTATTTAAGAAAAGAGAGAGTATTTCATCACTTATAAGAATAAACATGATAAAACTCAGATTGATTATTTTATTATAAGAAAAACTATCATTTATATTGCAAAAACTATAAAATTATTTCAAATGAAAGATTATGTATCCAACATCACTTATTAATTTTGGACTTCAATATGAAAGGGTGAAATATAAAAAAATAAAATAAAATATTATTTCTGGAATTAGATGGGGGCATTTACAAAAAATGATAATTAAATATTTTTAGAATAAGATTCAAGTTCTCAACATTTGGGTTATTCATGAGGAAGCTAATGTTATATGGGAAAAAAAAACGAGTGATATTAAAAATGTTGAAAAGTAAGTAATTTGAAAATAAATAAGAAAAGCTCCAAACAACAAATCTAATTGATGGTGAAATCAAAATGTGCTAGAAAAGATAAAAAAATAAAAAGCTTTGTTATAAAATTTGATTTAGATGTAAAAGCTCAAAAAATCGGGAAATATATAAAGGTGCATGTAGGAAGTCTAAAAAAGTCATTTGCGATGCAAAAAATTTAGCTTTTAGTGATTTATATAATATATTAGATACTTGGAAGAATGAAAGATGTATGTATAAATTTGTCAAACAAATATATAAGATAAGTAAAGATCTAGTGCATAAAAATGAAGATAAAAAGTACTTTTCTTAGAAAAGGATATTCAACATAGGTGATGAGATATTTAGATAAGTTTTTCAATGAAGATTGTGAGATTATGATTGACTTTAGTGATCTCAGCACCTTAAATAAAAATAGAGATTTTTATTTTTATAGTCGTTTTAATAAAACCGAAGTTGGAGAGGCTTGGAAGAAGATGATGTGTGAAAAAGTAGTGGGCCCTGATGATATTCCAATAAAGATGAGCAAATGCTCAGGATATCAAGGAATTTCTAGGCTTACTAAACTTTTTAATATTCTTTTGACGACTAAAAAGAAGCCAAATGAGTGGAGTGTGTTAATTCCTATTTTTAAGAATAAAAGTAACTCGTAAGAGTGTGCAAATTATAGAGGAATTAAGTTAGTGTGACATACATTAAAATTGTGGGAGAGAGTAATTAGGCATAGGTTACGATGTGATACTAATGTTTCTCAAAATCAAAATGGATTTATGTTAGGTAGGTCTACTATGGAAGTTATACATTTGTTGAGTAATTTGACGGAGAAGTATAGAGAGAGTAAGGAGGATCTACATATAATATTTATTGATTTAGAGAAAGCATATGATAAAATTTCAAGAGAAGTGTTTTGGAGAGTTCTAGAAATTAAAAGAGTTAATAATGCATATATTTAAATCATTGAGGATATGTATATAGGAATTATTATTTGTGTTCAAACATAAGTTGGTTTGACCAAGTATTTTCCTATTTCACTTGAATTACATCAAGGATCAGCTTTAAGAACGTATCTTTTTTCTTTGGTCATGGATGTTCTTACAAGATAATTTGCAAGAGTTTATGATAATAATTTTCTTATTGATAAGACTAGAGAGGGAGTTGAAGGAAAACTTGAATTATAAAGGCCAATGTTAGAGTTTAAAGGTTTTAATTTGAGTAGATTTAAAACTGAATACATAGAGTATAATTTTAATAATAATAAATCTAGTGATGGGAAAAATTTATAAAAAGATGGTGAAACCTGCAATGCTTTATGGTGCAAAATATTGACTATTAAAAGAGAAGCATAAAATTAAATTAAGAGTTGCGGAGATGAGAATGCTCAGGTGGATGAGTGGCTTTACACTTATGGATAGAATGTTAAACAAGTAAATACGTAAAAAGGCGGAGAATCTCCACTAGCACATAATTTTAAAGAGAGTCGTCTTAGATGGTTTGGTCACATAAAATGTCGGCCTTTCAATGACCCAATCAAGAGAGTAAATATATTAGATCCTGTTTATGTTAAGAAAGGTAGAGATAGATCTAAAAAGAGTTGGTTAGAATGTATTCAAAATGACCTTTTTCTTATTAGATTTAGGCGAGAATTTGACTCCTAATAGAACACCATGGATAAAAAAATTCATGTAACCAATCCCATATAGTGGAATAAAGGTTTGATTTTGTTTTTTTTTGTTTGTATAGGAGAATCCCTGGTCTCTGCATAAACAGCAGGATCTAACACAAAAGTAGCAAGTCTTTAGAATATACGGAACTATATTGTATATTTTATTTCTTTACATAACAACTACTTTCCAACATGGATAATATTAAACCATTCAAATATTTAAGGACCTAAAAACAGACCTACTAGAAAAAAGAAAATAATAACCTAACCGATATACGAAACACAATTGTAGACTCATCTTATAGTTATAGAAAAGTTTTTAAATGGTACCTTCAGCATCCATAAGAGATAAAGTAGGAGAAGATGCCCCACTGGCCACTGGAATCATAGCATGGATTTGCTTTTCTACATTCTCAGATGCATAAGAACCCTCATGAGTAGAAACAGCAGATTCTTCATTCGTATTGCTGATACCTTTACCTATGTCAGCTAGAGTAATGTCATCTAGCCAAAGTAAATGGAAAAAGTAGAAGGTTTAGTTGTTCTCATGGTCAAAAGTACATGGAGATAAGTTTATTTGAAATCAAAAGCTATAATACGTGAATTTTGATGGATTAAACATCCAAACAATATAGGGGGATTCACACACAACACTTAAATATATTTATTTCACATATTTACCACATAAACTTTACTATTTACTCATATAACACTTAAAACTTCAAACAACAATATGAATACCAACAACCCTAACTTCCATAAACATCGTCGTTGTATCTCCCGTCAATTAACAGAACAATGGATAATTCATACCCCATAGAATCCCATTCAAATCAGACCCACAATGCATGCTTCCTTCATATACTCTGCATCATTGCATCATCTACTCTCTAAGACAACTAAGATTGATTGAATTTGAAAAAAAATTGCCAAAATGACAGTCACACCCAATGCTAGAGTTGACCTTGGGCTCGCCCGATCCCCTTTCTTTTCTCCCTTCAAGAAGACATCTCCCAATCAAAACCCCTTTCTTCCAAGAAAAGCACATAGAGCGAAACCTGGCCTTGACGATGATGGAAGTTAGGATATGCAGCATTTTTTGCATTAAAGCATTATGTGAGTAAATAACAAATTTGGGTGTTAAATATGCAAAATAAATAATTTTATGCGTCATGTAAGTAAATCCCCCAAAACCATATATGCATATAAATATATGTTAAATGAATAATCTTCAAAGCATATATGAAAAAAAAATGACTTTGCATGTCTCTGCATAACACTTTTTCCTACATTACAATTCATTTTTCAGATGCCAGATTACCTTGACAGCAACAATTTAACAAATGCTAATGAATAAGAAAATTAATAACAATTTATTATGGAAAAGAAACTCCGATGATAACTCTCTATCCTTTTAACTCAATGATATGTGGTTATAGTGATTGGATGCTCCTAATCAATGTTAAATCTTATGTGTCTACGGTAAAGGATAGAATCTATCCATTAACTTACATGAAAACATAAGGGCACATAAAATGACTAAGAACAAAATAGAACAACAAAAGCAAAACCTTGTTTGTTTTAAAAAGAGTAATTAAACGGAAGTAAACACTGATATAGACCCACGTAGTAATGAAAAGCAAAGAATGGTTCAGAAATCCTATAACAGAAAGTCAAGATAAGATAGAACGTGCACAGATAGTCGATATAAGATTGAAGGTCATCAAGATAAACATACTCATTGGCATCAAAATGTTTAAAACCATGTGTTTTTACAAAAACAATATCTAATGAGAAATTATTAGTTATAGACAGTAATAGTAGATGGAATACTCACCAAAGAATTCTTGCCTGAGAAGCCTTCCAAATACCACAAGAAAATTAAAAGCAAAAAAAGTATATATATATATATATATATATATACATATATTTATTTATTTATTTATTTATTTTCTCATATGTACCTTGTGCAGATTTTCAAGAGGACCTACAAATACTAAAATAAGTACCTCAAATCAACACAAGAAACTATGCCTCCCAATTCTGGTAGGCTGTGCAACAGCACAACGCTAGAACAGTAAAAAAGTTTAGATTGTACTATTTTTTTATAACAAAAATAGCACAAACCATAGGATTCAAAGCTGGGTTCTATAAAAAATACAAACTTAGTGGTTCACAATTTAGGCGTACCAAGCACCATGTTCCTCACAACATCAGCAAAAAATTGGCATCTTATTGGACTGCAGGCTAAGGGCTGAAAGTTGATGGCTTAACGTAGTGACATAGGCTTTTTGCGGAGGCTTTCTTACTACTTATTTAAGCACTTTTTTAGTACAAAAGTTAATTTTTTTTTACTAAAAAACTGCTTTAAGAATCAATCAAAAAGCTGTCCCAAACGAAACCATAGTTGCACTGTGTGGACAGAGACTTGAGAAAAGCAAGTGTACAAGTGCGTGCAACCAGTATCAACTTGGCATGTATAACATGGCGTGGGTGGGGGTTATTGTGGTGTTGTATACTGAATGTTGGGAGATTCACCAAAACTAGAAAAAGCAAGAGATCAGAGAACTTTACTCACCCTCCATCTCCATGTCTGATGTCGCAGGTGAATGTACCCCATCAACACAATCCAAGTTTCCAGATTGGGAAGAATCATCAGCGGTCAAAGTACTTATAGGTAAAACCTTGGGCTTGAGACCCTTAGGAGACTCCATTACCGCAAGATATTTCTTTTTCACCCACTGAAAATATTCATGCCCGATGGCAGCTGCACTGCCAGGTTCACCACCGAACAAGAAGGTAAAATGTGGATTTCCAGCCTCCTTTGATCGAGCAATGTTCTCAAAATCAGGCCCAACCTTCGCAATGAACTGACACAAGACCTCGATGCTTCGAACGACACCTTCATCTGGCCTAGGTGGAGGCAATGCAAGATTCTCAGAAGCTTCTCCATCAACCAAAGGACCCTTGTTCCCTTCTCTAGAACCTTCACTAACATCAGCAAGATGAACTGGAGCATTATCAAGCTCAAGTGCACTTGAATCAGCCTTAGAATTTGTAGCAAGAACTTGCAGGGAATCATTCTGAAAGACATCTAATGCAGGGATTGGGGCAGGAGGTGACGGTGGAAGTGGTGGAGGAGATGATGGTGGTGGGGGAGGTGGAGGTGGTGGCGGGGGTGGAATTGCAGGTGGATGGGCATCTATTACAGAATTCTTCCCTGTGAAAGGTGTGGGGATTGTCAATTCAAAATTAGGATGTGGAGGAGGTGGGTTTGGCGCATTAGTAGGCCATGGAGGCTGGGTAGAAGCATTAACAATCCCGGGAAGGGGTGGATGAAGGGTGTGGTAAAACACTTGTCCTTGGGGCTGCGAGTTAGGCACTGATGTGGGCTGCAGCATCCTAGGAGGCGGTGGTAATGGCATGGGTAGAGGGAGCCCAGCCAGTGGATAAGGAGGGACTCCAGGTGTACTTCCATTTGCATGAGTTTGGAGTGGTGGTGGCGGCGGTGGTGGTGGTAACGGCGGTGGTGGTGGCAGCTGCATATAAGTCTGTGTGGAACTCACAGGAGGAGGGTGGGGGAATTGGGCAGGCTGTGCCTGAGAAGCCACCACTCGGTTAAAATACGTGGGTGCTTGAGGAACTGGTTGAAGTATAGGGCCAGGAGGAGCTTGCAGGAAAGGGAGAGCTGGACCAGAATAAGCTTGCTGGTAACTCGGAGGAGGTTGCGGTGGTGGTGGCGGCGGCGGCAAAGGCTGCCTGAACTGTGGAGCATAGTTCCCTTGCCCACCATACATCTTTCAGTAACTCCTTCCTGCTATAAAACAATCTCCTAAACATCAAATTGAGTTAACCCTCGGCCTGAAAAAAATACATAGCAGATCAAGTCAATCAAACATCAAATACCTCGTTTTTAATCTTCAATCAAATCCACCCAAAATTATTCCGTCTGCACCAATTAGATTACGCCTGTGTTAACCCGCATAATCAGAAAAAAGATGAATTTTATCCAAATTCAGAACCATTACTCTACGCAAAGTTAAAACATTGTATCCCAATGGGAGTTACCAAATTCAAGATTTACTTGCGTGTTGCCGCGGAGGAAGAAGAGTAATCCGATTGAGCTAACTTCTCTCCACCACTGCACCACAAGTAAGGGGCTAAACCCTAACCCTAACCCTAGGAGCAAAATTGAGGATGCTGAGAATAAGTGCTCAGAAGGATTGGAATGCGAAAGAGACGGTTAGCGGGATGAACCCTAGACGAGCTTTTTCTGTTTCGTTTTTAACGTTTTATGCATCGATTCAGTTTTATCGCCCGAAATAAATGTAGATTTTTTTTTTTAATTGACTGGTTTTAGTTATTTCTTTTCTTTTCATATAAAATTCTGAGTATAAATTCTGATGGAGAAATTAATGTATAAATGTATTTATTATTTTTAATTAAATTTTATATATAATAGTGTTTTTTAATTGAATAATTTTTAAGAAAATTTATAATAATTTACTAAGTAATATTTTGATTATTTATGAGTAATAAAATTAAAATGTTAATGTACTATTATAATTGTTTGTTAAATATTTTTATTATTGAATATTATTTTTTAAATATATTTTAAACCTATTCTAGGAATTTTCAAAATAAAAAAAATTTATACCAGGGGAGTTAAAATGGGTTAATGGGTTGAGTTTAGATTTGATTCGAAATTGATTTGTCATGAATCTAATTAAGTTGAATCTGATCTGTTCAATAAATGGGTCAAAAAAATAGACTTAAACCCAATCTACTACTAACCTGAATGATTTGAACACGACCTAATAATAAGTTTTGAGAAAAAAAAAAGACTTATGAAACTATAAAGTTTAATTTAATTGATGAAAATAAGAAGATCAAACCACCAAACAAAAGAATTTTAGAAAAATATATTAAAATAGCAACTTTTTGGGTCAAAAGTATCTATTTAATAAACGTGTCAAAATTTTAGACCTTAATTCGGCCTGTTTATTAAATGGGTCAACTCAAATTTAAATTTCTTTTATTCAGGTCCAAATTGGATATGAAGGTAGGATGATTTTTTAACACCGTAATTTAATCATATAATATTTGTTTAATATTGTATTACCATAGATGAATAAAAATTTAATTTTTATATGTTGATTTATCATTTGCTTAATAATTTTATTTTTTCTCAAAACATATAAATAATTTTTAAATGCGCCAATTATAAATAATTTATATGATAATATTTAATAAGTTATTATAAATATCTAAATAATTATTAACTTTATATTTTATTTAACCACTAATAAGTAACTTGTAAAAAATTAGTATATTCATAAATTTAAATAAAATAGATGATTTAATATTTACTTTTTATTTATATATAATTTAAATAAATTTATTAAAATATAAAAAAACTATTCAAATTTGGAAATAAATAAATATAAATGAGCTAATATAAAATTATTTATCAAATTTACTCAAAGCTTTATACTTTATGCACTTTTTTTTTATCAGCATAGCCAGAAGAATATATATTTTATTATATAAAATTATATAAAAATATTTGATATATATCAAAACAATTTAATTCAATCAGACTCAAAATTATTGAATATGCTTTAAAATTAATATAATATAAAAATATTTAATATTCATACTTTTTAAAATAAATTTAAGAAATTAAATTATATCGTGATAATAATTTGCAGGTTGAGTGATGTCCACCGTCGGATGAGGATCATGCGGTCATCACTGATTTTAAGTAGACAGAATAAAGATGAGAAGGCATCATCCGCTTTGGTGGTTAGTGCAGCACTACTCTGTATGATTCTTTTTAATATGAAAACAATTAGCTTGGTAAAGGAAGAAGGTATCTTTCAAGAAAAAAAAAAGCAGCTCATAATATTCTCATATAATATTTTATTAGAATTAATAGACATTAAAATAAAAATATTTTCCATCAAAATTATAGGAAAAATAATATCTCGATGAGATGAACCGTCAATGTTAAAAGTTATTTGATATGAATTCAAATATATCAAAATCAAGTATTTTGAGCAAAAAATTTTGAGATATTTAATAAGAGAAACGGCATGCTGTATTTTCTTTAGGATATATTTGTAATTATTATATGGCTTCTCTGTCCTATCTCTCTATATATACCATCTTGTACACATTACTTTAATATACACAGAACTATATTTTTCTATTATAAGCTCTGGTCCGTATTCTCCTCATTCTTCTTCTTTACTGTCATGGTATCAGAGCCAAGTTGGCTCCATGGCTGATCAAGAATCAGCTCTTTCTCCCGCCTCCGCCCCTGGTTCTCACTCCAGCGACACCTCCGACTACGCCGCACCGGCGCCCTTGAAGTTTTTGATCTCCAACCTCAAAACTCTCGTTCCCAATTCTTTGTCATCAGAGAACTATCATATATGGCGTATCCAGATCTTACAGCACTTTTCGGCGAATGGGTTCGCTGGCTTTCTTACAGGAGCGACTTCTTGTCCCTCTGACCAATCCAGCGAAGCATTCTTCAAATGGAGCTTGATCGACCGAAACCTGATCTCGGCGCTCTTCTCTACCATTTCTCACGCCATTCTCCCATATATTCTGACCGCCTCCACTGCCCACGATGTCTGGCAGATTCTTGAAAGGCTAATGCAGCCTAACATTCGTTCCCGAGTCATACAACTCAAGAACGAACTACATAACATCAAGATGAAAAATTCCACTATGCAGCAATATCTAATGCAGATCAAGAACCTGGTAGATAATATTGTTGTATCTGGCTCTCAAATTGACACCGAAGACATCCTCATCTACATCCTGAATGGACTTCCCTCCTCCTATAACTCCTTCAAAACCTCTATTCGCACATCCCTGCATCCTATAGATCTCGACACTCTCTACTCGTTGCTATGTAGCGAATAAATTGCAATGCAAAGAGAACATCAGAAAGAAGTTGGAGCAAATCTTGACAATCCAGCCTTCCACACGTCTCGAACAGGCTCAAACAGAGGAACTGGTGCAAATCGCAGCTTCAAGAATCGGAAATACGACAGTCGTTCAACTTCTGATTACTCCTCTTCCTCCCAACCGAACCAGCCCACATCCAAGACAGGCCGCCCCACATGTCAAATCTGTGGCAAACTAGGCCACATCGCGCTGAATTGTTGCCACAGAAACAATCCTAAATACGCTCCTACCACTTCATCCAATTAGCGGGCTCTTCTTTCTCAGCAAACTCCGGTCTCTACAAAGGATTGGATTCTTGATTCCGGTGCATCAAGCCACTTGACACTGGATTTTAGCAATTTCCATCACAGATCTAGCTACCAAGGTCCGGACACCATCTCCACTGCGAACGGAGCTTCTCTTCCTATTCAGCATTCCGGTCAAGGCCTTCTTCCCCTCCCCGACTCGGCTCGTAAGCTTTACTTACGCAACTTACTTCACGTTCCTGCGCTTACTCATAATATTATCACTATTTCAAAACTAACCAAAGACAATAAAGTCTCAATTTCTTTTGACAAAAATGGCTTTGTCATTAAGGATGGTCAGGATCACCGCCCGCTTCTTCTTGGACAAGTACATAATGGCCTATACTACCTACGGAACATCCCTCCGGCTCGTCCCACTGCACTTCTTGCTCGGCAGTCATCTACTCGTCTCTGGCACGCAAGACTTGGTCACCCCCACACCGGAGCACTCACGCGGCTTCATCATCTGATTCTGTCTCTAGAACTTGATACTACTAAGTTTTATTGTAACTCTTGTAGCATGGCTAAATGCCATAAACTTCCTTTTAATAAACGGACCACTAACTCATCGCATGTTTTTCAATTGATTCACTCGAACGTTTGGGGTCCGGCTCTTATACAATCGTTAAACGGATTTAATTACTATGTCATTTTTGTTGATGACTTCTCCAAGTTTACATGGCTATATCTGATGCACTCCAAGTGTGAAACATTTTCCAAATTTACTCATTTTTGTGCCCTTGTTAAAAACATTTTTAATACTACACCTAAAGTGTTCAGATCCGATGGCGGAGGAGAATTTTGCAGTACTCAGTTTAAAACATTCCTCTCCTCACACGGCATTCTTCATCAAACCAGCTGTCCGCACACTCCAGAATAGAATGCACTCACTGAATGGAAACTTCGCCATCTTCTGGAACTCACGCGTACTCTCTTGCACGACGCCTACCTGCCCAAACAATTTTGGTCTGAAGCTGTCACCACGGCAACCTATTTAATCAATATGCTACCGTCAAAAGCCATCTCAAACCAAATTCCCTATCAAATTATCCATGGCACTGCACCGACCTACGATCACCTTCGTATCTTCGGTTTCCTTTGCTATCCGTGGCTTAGACCGTATGCCACAGACAAACTATCACCCCGTTCTCAACCGTGCGTCTTCCTCGGCTACTCGTCACACCAAAAAGGCTATAAGTGTTTTAATACAAGCACTAACAAAAATCAGATTTCCCGTCATGTAACATTTCAGGAACACATTTTTCCTTATTTGCAGTCTACCTCTAATCCCATTTCCCCTTTGGAAGCTCCGCCTCAGTTTATTTCACCGCTTCTTACAACACCTGCGTCTGTCTTTCACACCACTGACCAGGATGATCCAAGGCCAATCCAGCCAACCTGTCAAGCTCCCGTATATACTCCAGACGCTAACACTAATACTCGGACCACAGAGGCTGATTCCCCGTTGCCTGATCCACCGCCTGCCCAATCACATCCAATGCAGACACGAGCCAAATCGGGAATTTACAAGCCCAAACAGATATATGATCTACTGGCCACAACTTCTACACCGTCTAATCCTACCACTTACACTCAGGCGTCCAAAATCCCGCATTGGCAGTCAGCTATGGAAGAGGAATTCTCAGCTCTGCAGCGTCAAGGTACGTGGACTCTTGTTCCACCAACTGCTCAAGATCCGATCCTCGGGTGCAAATGGATATTCAAAACAAAACTTCTACCAAATGGAAAGATCGATCGCTACAATGCTCGCTTAGTCGCCCAGGGCTTCAATCAAACACTCGGCGTCAACTATACAGAAACCTTCAGTGATGTCGCCAAGATGCTAACCATCCGGGTTCTCCTAACTCTTGCACTTCACCGGCAATGGTCCATACTTCAACTTGACATCTCAAATGCATTTCTCCATGGCGATCTCACGGACACAGTGTACATGCGTCAACCCGCCGGGTTCATTGACGAAAAGCATCCGCATTATGTGTGTCAACTTCATAAATCTCTCTACGGCCT